ACGAATCAGAGTGGGGGAATCGGCTTGATTATCTCCAGAGCATTTTTTGCCCAATTACAAGGGAGAAAGATGTGATGACACAAATGGAAGAGATTAGTAGAATTCCCTCAAGAGATCAAACAAGAATGGTTATTTAATGGCTCGGTAATTTTTCTATTCAACCCTAGGAATTCTTTTATATTATTCTATTTTACCAGTATATTTAGGATCAAATTTTTGCAAAGTCTAATGATTTTATACTCCTAGTACTCTTACTGAGATATATTGCTAAAAATTTGTTCAAAATATTCTACAATTTTCACACTTTCATTTCCTTTCTGTTGATGCGTGGCAGGCTCTTGGACGGTACTATGAATCTAGGAACCAGCGTACCAGATGCAAAGACATCGCACTGTGCATATACTCAGATTTTAAATGAACGGGCAGAGGCAGTGCTGAGATTTAAGCCTCCGAATTCTGCCGCAAGTTTGTTCTGAAAAGCTATATTGTGTCTTAGGAATTTATGTGATACAGAATTACTAATCTCTATCTTAGACAAATTTCTATTAGATGTTTCTTAACAATGATTCACAAGATTGGCTTTATATTACTCTTCTTATTGTTGCTTTCTTCTTGATGGTCACATTTCATGCTCCATAGTTCATACCTAAATTATAATAGTTTCTTCTTGATGGTCACACTGCATGCTCCATACTGCTTTCACCGTAACTGAAGTAAGAACTATTCCACAATTTTTGATATACAGCTTTTGCCTTCTGCAACTAGCACCAAAAGTAATACTCTCAGCCCTTATCACCTACTTCAAGTGCCAAGGCTGATGTAGCCTGCAGGGCCGCAACCCATAGCCCACCACAATAGGCACTGACACCAGACTCGGACCATGTACTATGTCTGATTGGGAAATCTAATCATTCTCAATCATTCCATCACCATCTCTATCAAATTGATCCATATATGCCATTGCAACATAAACTGAGGGCCAAACAGCTTCTGCATACTTGTTTACCAGTGGCAACCATATCTCTATAAACTTGAAGAACAAATTTTGGATTCAAGTCTTCCACCGATCTGAGCCATAAAGGCAATAGGAACTTACTTCAAATATCATGAGGAACAGCTCAAGAACCTTCCTCGGGACCCACTGTCCATCATGTAAAAGCTTCCTTTTAATAGGATCATGCATAATTACTGAAGCTGCAAAGTCTCTTTGAATGCTAAGTTGAAGTTTCGGAAATAACATTATTAACACAAAAGATGCATAGAAATGAACGTCGTAGGTGTTCCACATCTGATATTCAATTCCTGAAAGATATATAAAGAAATTGACCGATGTTCTCTTCTGCTTCCTGAAGCAGATTTGTTCTAAAAGCAGAATTTGATGCAATTGGAATGTGTATTTGCGCAAGTACCGAAGTCTTCCTTCCCAGAATGTCAACAGCAGTATCATTGTAAATTGCGCTCTAATAGTCCTCCCTTATGACCAGAAGACTTGCCACCTCACTCATCAATGTTCATAGTTTCTCTTCAAAATTTTCAATGACTTGATCATCTGGTTAGCATATTTACGTACTCCTTTGCCAGCTTCTACTACCGTCCCTGCCACAGCACTAGAGAGAATTTTTTCCAAATTCACTTTCCATGGAAAACCATGTATCCTCCAACAAGAATTTCAAATATAAGAGTTTGTGTCTTTCAGTACATAAAAAAGAATTCCAAGAACCCCACAAATGGAGAGTAGATAAAAA